GTTCTCTTTTTTATTTTTTTTATTTTTTTATTTTGTATTAGTTTTTATTGCTGTAAATTGTAATCTTTAATAAAATTACTATTAAAAAATCTCTTAATTTCTCGTTCTCCTTCCCTCCTCAACTTGTACATTCAGTTTGTATAATTCTGCTACAAAGCCTGAACTGGTAAACTATTAATCCAGGTGGCAAGGCAAAGCATACATTACAAATTCGTAAGGTTATTGTTGCAGCTATTTCAACCACGTATCTCAATGTATTCCTATTATCTGAATGAAGCATTCATTTTTTATGTATTATATGTATTGAATATGTTTTGTTCAAATCATAATGCAAAACTTTTAGTATATTTTCCATTATAAAGAATTCCAAAGTGTAATGAATGTATCACAAAAAGCAGACCTTGTAACACCTTCTTTGTACATTCATCCAGATTCCAAACTATCACATAATCACGTGAAGCAGAGCAAATAAGGAGAGGATCAACTTTGGTCCCAAATGCCAGTGCAGTAATCGAGTGATGATGACCTATTAAGTGTAATGGCTGAACAAAAAAAAAAAAATGTTTAGATTATTTTAAGACAGATGCAATGCACAAAATCAAAACTTGTGAATTTCTTCTGAAATGTTCTTTTTACAGATACATTTGGATACATTTTGCTTTATTGTTCTACCCTCACTTTAGTTTTCAATGACAGCTCTGGAAAGTGGGGAGCCTTCAGAGCAGATTTGGGGACCATGTGGTGTTCAAGCATATTCCATCCATCATCTAACCACTACTGAATTCAACTCACAATAAAAAAGCAACTACTCTAACATAAACCTTACGTAGTAAATATCAGTCTAGGATCAGCTTTGGCAGGCAAAGTCTCAAAATAAGAAAAGGAAAATAAGAAAAGTAATAATTTTCTTCCACAACAGATTTGTGTGTGGGGGGGGGGGTGTTTGTGAAAAATAAAAATGGGAGGATAAATTTAATAATAAATAAATAAATAAATAAATAAATAAATAAATAAAGGCAGGTTTACAAGTAAAAGATGATGATGGCTGAACCCCAATAAAATTCTGTGAATGTGACAGGGCAGTGCTAGGGTGAAAGCTTCATCTGGAATTGCACTAAGAAATCTGACATTAAGCAAACACAAAACTACGTTCTGTATTTGCCATAATAAACAATTGATATATTATCCCTTTAAATATGAAAAGTGGATTTTAGATCATCACTGTTGTCATATTTGCTGTTCCTGGACATGCTTTTAACCACTTCTATATTCATTTCAAAAGGATTGGCACATAAGTGATGCCTGTGGACTGCGTTCTCTAAAATGCTATTTTCAGCATTAATGCCCACAAGGAAATATGTATCTAACCTGATGGTTAGGATCATCACTCGTATTCCAAATACAAAGTTCATTTCCATTTAAGGGGAAAGCACAGTAATGGAGGCTACAAGCCAGCTGAACATGTGATTCTGGTACTTTTGATCTAAATACTTGTTTTTCAAGAATAATGCTGCTGTTATTATATCCGTCTTCAGTGAAACAGAGGTCCATGGAGTTTTCCATAGTACACCTGAGAGATAACAAATTGGATATAATTATATCACTCATTAACATTATATTTAGAGGTATTGTGTATTTACAAACATCATTCATTATATTGTGTACAGTACTTCATCCTTAGTGAAAGTAGTCAAAGGTCTAGTTTATTTAGTCTCCCAAACTTATAAAAATATAATGGGAATAGTCCTAATTTAAATGGTTTCTTAAGAACGATATAAATATATTATAAAAATATGAACGTATTAATATTACACTAAAAAGGTGTAATTTCATAAGGGTAAATATGAGGGACTACAGATAGAGGTAGGAGTTAGAAAAAACTTCCTCCCCTTGAGTGGGCTATATTTCTGAACTCCAAATTCCAACAGTTCTATCAAATACAACCAATGATGGGGATTGCAGTCAAACACTGGCTGCTTTAAAATAAAGTTGGCTTCTCGAAAAAACAGGTTGTCAGTTGCAATTATTTTTGCAGTTTACGTTGAAACAATCAACACTTAAGAGCCTTCTCTGGAAGCATTCTGAGACATTTGCTTTCTTTTTCCATCTCTTTCCGGGTGTTTGCTGAATAGAGAATTCCTAGTGCTGACACTCAAAAAAGACTGCACAACTACTGTAGCTGTCCCTCCTCAGAGGATTTTTTTTTAAAGAAAGATGGTAAGAGCAGTAAGGAAGTTCATGAAGTTTGGTGAATGACATACAGTAGTTACTCAATAAAAGCTCTGTTTGGATGCCCCCCAATCCTATGCAATCTGTGGCACAGAATTCTGTGACTTCATTAAAATTAGTAAATAGATTTTAGCATAGGATTTTATGGACTACATTCCCTTTTATTATAAAAGTATGAAGCATACTATATCTTATGAAAACCTAGACTATAATAACCTTTAGGTGCCATTTGACCCTTTCAGATGTCATCAGTTGTGATTTGGAAAAAATATATATTACCAGTTTAATTTGTTCCTGTTCAGAAAGAGGATATTGGTATTTCATAAGACAATATAAATGTGCCAGCCCTCTGAGGTAATCTATACTAGAAAACAGCCCATTACATAATGTTACAGGGCTTATTTTAAAACCAAAAAAAAGAGGCTGAAAGCCCCATTTCTGGATGAACCGCAGTTGGTTTCTCTCTGGTAGTGTTGCTGAATGAAAAACAAAACAAAACAAAAACGTTGCAGCAAAGAACTGTGTGCATCTCTTTACACTAGATAAGGAGATGTCTAGCAGGCTCACTGTTGCCTTACGAACTACAGTTCTTACAGCCCTCACAAGATCACATTTTCTTGAAGAACCTTATCAACTATGCTTGTTTAACGTTTACCACCTTATGTGAACCCAGCCAATCTTGTTTATGAAAGGCTTCCAGATCTGGGTTGCAAACTTCTGGTCAACCATTAAACAGTAACAAAGAGCTCGTTTTTTGTACCCCATTGCTGCCGTCTAGCAGTCCTCTGGATTTTTGCGGGTCAGATCTGGTACCTCTAAAATATCATTTTTAGTTTTACAAGCTGCTTGAACCCAAGCAGCTCTGCTTTACCATCGTGGTGAAGCCAGCAATAGTGCAGCCTGTCGCTGGAATCCAGCCTGGCCTTTCTGCGAGAAAGAGGTCCGCGAAGGAAAGAATTCTGGGGAAGAACTGAACCTCGCCCAGACTTTCTGCCGCGAGGATTCCACGGTTAACAATGGGGCGTGGAACGCCCACGACTGTTGGGGCAGGGGTGAGTACAGATCCCTGCAGCAGGACAGCCCCCGTCGCCAAATAAGCAGCACGCGTTTATTTCTTTTCAAACGTGGCGGCAAATCATGAGGATGTCAATCCCGAAGCAGTTTCCTACTCGGGAAACTGTCCTCGTTATTTTCTTTACCGTGCGTGGCTGTTACGAGTCCGGGTCGCCGCCTTCCGTATGCAGGATTAGGAGGTGAACGTAAATCCTTCCCAGCTGAGCGTCCGAATGTGACGGCCACCTGGTTTCCTAGGCAGCAACGATGCCTACGGCAAGGCTTCAGAGCCAATTCCAGACGTTGCTTTCGTTTCGTTCAGGCGGTTCCGAAACGCTGGAAAGAGTTGCGTTGTTCTGTATGGAACGGAGATAAGATTGCTATTCTCCTCCCTTTTCCAACCGGTCTCCTGAAGCTTTAGGGGTAATATGCCAAGCTGAGACCCAATATGTGGACGATTTGTCTGATATCTCATTTCCTGGAGAGAATTGGATCTTTTAAAGTTTGCTTGCAATTCCAGAATTGATAAATTGCCACCTGTTTAGATTATGGACGGTTCAAGAAAAATAACTACCTTCTTAAGGAACAAGTAATCAGAGCAAAATGACATTTACCAAACAAACAGTATTCAAGGGTGTTACTGTACTATATTTACTTTACATAACAAAACATTACAGTAGAGTTAACTACATTTTTATCTGTAAGCAATTGTGAGTGCCATACATAGTTAAGAAAACTCATTTCCAAAAATGATGACATAAACAATTATGCAACTTAGATTGTCACTACTATTTTCTTGTGAAGGGATATTCTCTCCATCAAAATGGTCATTCAGTTCTGACTTAATAGATAATTAGTGCCCAGTTTTGTATAGGCTGCTGTGTAGGGTTCCTGACCTCTGTATACTAAACACTAAGTTACATGTATTGTATGGAATTCCTGACACCTAAGCAGCTGATTTTCTGTACTGTAACAGATTTATACATGCAAAATTTCATATTTATAACACATATAAACACACATACACGCACACACATATTCACAAATACATATATATGCATATACACATACACACATATATGGACTTCAGGCTATTTTATGCATCCCACTACTGCAGTTGATTATGATTTTATTGTCCTAACTCATTTCAAAATATATTTTTTTCAAGGTCTTGAACATGTATATTTTGGGGGGGAAATGGTCCAATAAAATATTTTTGTGAAAGCAGCTAAGTCTTGCAGTAATTTAAAGACACAAACACACATATATATTCTGGAATATTTTTTGGTTACATCATATGCAAACCTCAGCTTCTTTTACTTGCGTCCTGATATCAGACTCAGGTATTTAAGTCAGAAAGTTTGCAATGAAACATCACAACACACTTTTTCTTATTTGTCTACTGCCACCCCCAACTTCCTCTGTGGACACCTTTTTGGCTAAGGCAAGGTTTAGTGTGTGTGCCCAGACAGCAATAATAAAGGAAAACCTAACCCAATATCATGTAGGTTTCTGGTCCCTTAGAAAGTAGAGAAGAAATTAATCATAGTTGTTGCTGGTAGAACTCATGCAACCTTACTTACAAATCAGTTCAATTATACATATATTTGTCAGCTGCTTTGAAAACTGTTGCAGCAGATGATTTTTTTTTTAAATACCTCGTAATTGGAGAGTGTTATCGGCTCTCATCTCCTTGTCATGAATAAATCTCATTTTCATGAATTAGTTTCATGCTTTGAGTAAAGTAAGAGAACGAGGGGTACGCATATATTTCAAACTATTTCTAATAATAACATCAACAATAAGGAAAGTACTAGCAAAGTTCCCTGCAGCCAATGGTTGACCACTCTTCGGTCTCGGCGCAGGACCCGTTTTCTGTTGCCATGGTGATAGAACAAGGCAACTTCTCCGGATAGTCCCTCCCAGCCATCGCTCCGCCTCCTTTTTTTCTTCCCAGAGCAAAAGTTGGTGGAGCAGCTCGAGTTGAAGTCTCGCGAAGCTACAGAGGAGTCTCGTGGTGAGAGCTGGGTCCCTGTTCTGTCAAGGGTTGTGGCGGCCTCCTCAATGGTGGCTGGAAAGCGAGCGAAGTGGCTCCGCGCTAGGGTGAGTTTGGGGAACGAGCGGCGGGGAGGAGGACTTCGGGATCTCTTGCGCGAGGCTGACGGGGAAGGGGAGGAGAGGCAGGCAGAGTGGCCCCTCTCTTGGCTGGCAGTCTGCGCGGCGCTGCTGAAGCGCTCGACTCGGGCGGCGTTAGGCGAGAGATTCTTTTCGTGCGCGCGCGGCTCTTCTCCCCGCCCCGGGAGGCTCCTCACGAAACCCTTAAGAAGCGGGCGAGCTGAGGGGAAAGTAGGCGGCACGCGAAGAGACAGAAATCTCCCTTCTGGAGCGGGCTTCCAAGTTTCTTTACACCGTCTGGTGGGCCTTCACTGGCTTCCACTCAGAGCGCGAGCGCGCGCCCTCCCCTCTTTCCCTTTGCTAGGATTGTAAATCGCCTCGAGGCGATGTATAAAATTTGGTATAAATAAAGGAGCAAGCAGGCACTAGCTCCGATTCGGCAGGTGAGTGGACTTATAATCCAGGTAACTTCTTACGTCGAGGCTGAACCCGGTTTAACTTAACAGCGGAAGTTACCTGGTGCCCGGTGGTAACTGTGGTTTCATTTTATTTTTCTCTTTTGCCCGCTCCCGAAAAAAGCTCTGCTTAACAAACTATGGCTAAGAGGAATTAATAACTGTTATTTTTTAGATTGTAGTAGTCTGCTTGTGACTGATGAAAACGGTGTGTATTGTCCTCCGTTTTCAGGGCGCTGGGAAAATTGCTGTTCCAGAATACCATAGAGACTGGTCTCTTTTTGCCTTCAGGATCTATAGACAGTTAAAATATATGCAGCAACTTTGGTGTTTATTTCAAAACATGCTGCCTCTGTGTATGTTTAGAAGGATCCAATCTATGATTAGTGTGTTTATAAAATTATAAGTATGAGGGGAAATGTACGGAATAGTCCTAATTTTCATATATATGAGTCTAGGACAATGATGGCAAACCTATGACACATGTGGTCAAAGGTGAGATGCCAGCAATCACCAACACCTGACAACTATTCTCCCTGTTTGAGTTACCAAAGAAATGGAGTTTGCTTTACTTGTAATTCATTTTTGTAATTATTTGACGTTTCTTTATATAATACATAGCACCATACATGATTGGAGTGTATTTTTTTAAAATAAATATGTAAAGAATTTTTTCTCTTTTGCTTGGTGGGGTTGCTGACACACCACCAGTCAAGTTAGGCATTTTCTGAATTTTTGACACGCCGAACCCAAAAGATTCGCCATCACTGGTCTAGGATATCTGTAGCAATACAGAACCACTATGTAATTATTTAATAAAAACAAAACTTCACATTGCACAGAAAAGCAGATGTGTGCTGCTGTTTAAATAATTCCTAATTTAAGGTGGTTATTTGAGGCCATTTTCATGCAAAATAGCCTTTTCCTGTCATGTTTACAAAAGTCACATGTACTACTACTAAAACATTGACAAACACATGGTTTAGATCTGCCGTAACAACTTGGTCCTGACATCCCACTGGTATTAACTTTTTCAAAAGAGTATCTCTGACATGTTTTTCTGGGGGGTGTACCTTTGTATACTTATTCAATAATAAGTTGACAAGAGTGATAAAACATGGTAACTGGAGATTACTGCAGTCACAGAACAAGTTTATTTTATATCCAACACAGGTGTGATGGCCACTGACTACAAGAAGATACTAGCAATACTGTTTACTTTTCAAGGACTTCTGATAACAAGTGCTTTTAATGAGGATGAGGATATACCTGAAGAATGGATTCTCTTGCATGTAGTTCAAGGTCAGATTGGTGCTGGAAATTACAGCTACTTGAGACTAAATCATGAAGGGAAAATAGTGCTTCAGATGCAAAGTTTAAAAGGTGATGCAGACTTGTATGTATCTGATGTAACTCTTCACCCCAGTTTTGATGATTATGAATTACAGTCTGTGACTTGCGGCCAAGATATGGTTTACGTGCCAGCACACTTTCGTCGCCCAGTAGGAATAGGAATTTATGGCCATCCCTCTCATCTGGAAAGTGAATTTGAAATGAAAGTGTACTATGATCAAACAGTTGTAGAATCTCCATTTGGTGGTGGCTCATACAATCCAGAAGAAATGAAAATGAACCAGAAGAAATTTCATTCAACAGAAGATGAATATCAAGATGAAGAATCAGTCTTCTGGACTATATTGATTGGAATACTAAAATTAATACTTGAAATTCTCTTTTAGATTTATAGTTTTGGGTGTGAACAATCTGTACAACTGATTGAATCCTATTCTAAGCTGTGGAGGGGAAAATAAAGCCATAATTATTTTTATATTGTAAACTTTTCCCAGTGCTATATTGTAGCAGGCACAGTATTTGTACAGTTTTCTCTTAACTGATCAGGGTGAATATAAACGGATGCTACAATTCACTGTGATTTTCAATAAAACTTAAAAATTATAGAAATATAAATTCATGCTCAGTATTTCATCACATTTGTTAAATATTTATATAACATTATTTGTGAATATATTAAGATAGAAGTAGAGTATCTTCTTTGGCCAAAATACAAGTATTTATATGAGAAAGATCTTGAGGAACGAATTCTGGAAAAGCCTTCAACTGCTTTTCCAGCTACCACTAGAAACCCATTATCTGAAACAACATGAATACAGAATTACTCATAGGTAAGCATGAACATTTCAAACAGGGACCACAGAACATTTCAAACATGAAATGTTGATGTTAGAACATTCAGCACACCCTCATTTCAGGTCACTTTCCACATTGCAAGCCCATCTGCCTAAAAATAATGTAATTATAGTTACTTAATTTTATCACTGACTAAGAGATTGAAAAGATCTTAAAGAGGTGCCTGTGTACTGGCAGCTTCAGGGAACAATACCTGAGCTTCCTTGTCCCAGAACTCCCCAAAGCTCTGAGAGATGCTTTCCCATGTGATCTGGAAAAGATCTTAAGATCACTGGAAAGGCAGAAGCTGAAATGTTTTGCAAATGAATACAATACATTCTGAGATGCAAAAAAAAAAAAAAGCCTTAAACAAGAAAAAACTATGTTGTACCACCAGCAAAGGGCATAAGGAAAAAAAGCACTGAGCTGAAATTT